ATCACAGGGACACCCTGGACAGGTCTCCAGTCCATCACTGGGACACCCTGGACAGGTCTCCAGTCCATCACAGGGACACCTGGACAGTCTCCAGTCCATCACAGGGACACCTTGAACAGGTTTCTAGTCCATCACAGGGACAGATGGAAACTGGTGCACCTGGAGAAAACACACATGTGCACAGCGTGTAAACTCCATCCAGAAAGGCTGGGAGGTGAACCTGTGACCTGCTCGCTGTGAAGCAACAGCTCTAACCACTGCTCCACTATGCCACCGCTCAGGTGAATCATTTTGTAACAACATTTAAATCATGAGACCAGTTCATTCGGCTGACAGGAAACCATTGAAGCAGACCTGCAGCTGACTATGATTTTATTTTTTATCATAAACAAAGTTGGGATTTATTTTTAATCTTTGATATTCTTGCACATAATAATGTGACCTTTAATTCCCTATAAATTGTTGGTTTTTCCTTGAAACTTGATGTCAGGAGGTTCCTCTGTCAGTTTAATATAAAACATCTTTAACACCCCTCACTCTTGAATAATTCAACAGACTAAAAGTTTGAGGTGTTTCTCTAAAGAACAATTTGAGCCTTAAAATGAGAAGCAAACAAAATAAAAACATGTTTATTTTTATTTGGTTTCATTATGTCAGACTCAGCACGTGAATGTTTTGTGCTGAAATGACGCCAGATTGTGTCTCCTCCCCTCTGAGTTCATCCTCTAACACGTGTTCAGCACGTGCATGTGTGTTTTAACGGTAAATTAATGCACGTCTATGGTTCAGCATGTCAGTTCCTGCAGAGACAAAGAGGAAGTTAAAGTCATGATGATCAGGATCTCTCTCCTTCTCTGCTTCTCCTGTAGGTTTGGGATGTCATTCATCACTTCGCTTAAATAAAAAGTTTGTGTTTTTTCATTAAACTTTTGTTTCACGCAGCTTTTTCTCTGAGCAACGTCGTGCATCAAGACCCACCGTCAGTTTTATGGCGTGCTCAGAGTTCTGCAGCCATCAGCTGCAGTCACTCAGTCAGCTCATACAACATGATCTCGTGGTACCAGAGGCCAGCAGGAGACTCTGCTCTGAAGTTAATCGGGTACATGCTCTACACCAGCCAGAACCTGGAAGATGAATTCAAAGAGCGTTTTGGAGTGAGTGGAGACGGCTCGAAGAAGTCTGAGCTTCAGCTGGAGAAGCTCAACGCAGAGGACAGCGGTGTTTACTTCTGTGTAGCTCAAAGACACGGTGACTCAGGCACCTTCTGAGCACGACAAAAACCCTCAGATGATCCCTCTGAGGAACACGAGCCCAGCTGCAGCCGGAGCAACAGAAACGATTGAACAAAGGTTCAACATCAAAACCTCCTCTTCCTGTGGAAACCTCAGAGACGAAAGCTTCTGTGATCGTCCGTGATGTTGATTCCTCCTCTTCATTTCATTTAAATTGCACTTCGGTTCAAACTTCTTAAATTTGGCAGCTCTGTGCTTTTGGTTAACATCCATCCATCCATCCATCCATCCATCCATCCATCCATCCATCCATCCATCCATCCATCCATCCATCCATCTATCCATCCATCTATCCATCCATCCATCCATCCATCCATCCATCCATCATCTTCCACTTATTCTGAAGTCAGGTCGCAGGGGGTCGCTTTTGGTTAACAGGTAAATAAAATGTTGATGTCAAAATAAACTAGAGAAATTGAATTTCCTGCAAAAATGCAGTTTAAATGCTTATTGCGGAATAACTTGCTGAAAAACAGCTGAAATTAGCTAAACAATGCTGAAATGGAAGAACAACCCTAAATTAGCAGAAGAAAGCAGAAAGAACACATATCAGCTTAATTAGGTTTAAATAAGCAGAAATTAGCATAAAAAATTAGGAAATCAGAAAAAAAAGGCTTAAAATTAGCAAAATACATTTAAAAGTAGCCAAAAAGGCAGAAAGAAGCTTAACCTATGAGAAAGAAGCAGAAATAACTGAAATGAGCTTTAAAACTGGAATTAGCGGAAACAGCTAAAACTGGCATGAAAACAGCTAAATACTAGCTTAAATAGCATAAAAAGCTGAAAGTAGCTGAAAAATGCTAAGGAGCATAACAAGCTGAAATTAACAGAAATACGTTAATTAGGCTTAACAGCAGAAATTACCACAAAAAAAAACTTAAATTGACCAGAAAACAGCTGAAATTAGCTTAAAAATTTTAACATTAACTGAAAAGGTATAACAAGCTTAAATTAGCAAAAGAAAGCAGAAAGAACACATTTGCTATATTTGGTTTAAATAAACGGGCAGCACGGTGGCACAACTGGTAGAGCTGCTGCCTCTCAGCGAGCAGGTCCTTGGTTCAAACCCCGGTCCAGGGGCCTTTCTGGGTGGAGTTTGCATGTTCTCTCCGTGCATGCGTGGGTTTTCTCCGGATACTCCGGTTTCCTCCCACAGACCAAAAACATGCATGTTAGGCTGATTGGTAACTCTAAATTGTCCCTAGGTGTGAGTGAGAGAGTGAATGGTTGTTTGTCTCGTTTGTCTCTATGTGTCCCTGTGATGGACTTGCGATGGGTGTACCCCGCCCCTCGCACAGTGATTGCTGGACATGGGCACTGGCGACCCCCGTGACCCAAAATGGAATAAACGGGTAAAGATAATGGATGGATGGATGGATTAAATAAACAGAATTGAACACAAAAAAATAGAAATTTTCTGAAAAAAGTTTAAAATTAGCCAAACACAGCTTAAAGTAGCTATAAAAAGGCAGAAAGAAGATTGAATTACCAGAAGGAAGTGCAGAGCACTTTTTTAAAAATTACGCTGAAAAATGTTGAAATGAGTGCAAAAAATATCAAATTAGCTGAAAAAGCTTAAATTAGCATAAACAGCTATATGGTAGCTTAAATAGTAGATGAAGCTGAAACTTGCAGAAATCAGTTGAAAGGATCATCTGAATGTAGCAGAACGAAGTTAGAAGAAGCACAAAAATGTTGCAGTTAGCAGAAAGAATCTGAAAGGTGCACAAAACAGCTGAAAGTAGCTGAAAAAAGTTTAAATTTGCACAAGGAAGCTGAAAGAAGCTGAACGAGAACAAAATGTAAAAGGAGCAGTAAAAGGTTGTAAACAGAGCTAAAGATTTGAAGGATGTGAAATTAGCTCAATTCAGGAAAAATGGCAGAAAAGGCTAAATATTTCAAAAAGCTAAAGTTGCACCAACATCAAAAGTATTGTCCAGGATTATCAGAATGTCCTGAAAGAGCTGAACCTTTTGATTTATGATTCGCTGAAATGGCGCAAAAATTGTGGAACAAGAAAGATGCCAAAATACATACGGAATAAAAATGGATGACAATAGAGTGAATGCTTCATAAACATTCACACAATAAATACATTTCTCTTTAGGGATGAAGATCTGTGTAATAAATGTGGTCTAACAGTAGCTTTGGCGGTGAGGCCATCTAAGCTAGAAGTTCAGCTCTGCACTGTTGAAAAGCCATTAACTAGCCACGTCCACCTGTGGCACGCAGACATCCACAGTAGATCCTGTTAGCGGTCCTCCAGCAGACCTGGAGCAGCTAAGACTAAGCTCCGGGTTCACCACCGGTCTGTTCAAACAGATGTGACTCAGCGACACACCTGCAGGGAGCAGCTGTAACTGGCAGCTCCACTGTCCGAAACGTGGCACCAGTCACTCCAGTGACCATAGTCAAATGCATTTCAGGGATCAGAGTGGGTGACATCAAATCCTACCTGAAACTGCTGACTACGGCTAAAGCTAGGAGCAAAAGGAGTGTTACTCATGTCTGCGGTAATGACACCAAATGGCAGGTTGGCTTTCTTGGACTGTGAGGTCTCAGTCTCTGATAGAGGACATTTGCAAACCGAGGTTTACCGCAAACCCACCCACACAGACCAGTATTTGCAGTTTGACTCCCATCACCCTTTGGAGCACAAGTTAGGAGTCATCAGGACTCTGTACCACAGAGCAGACAGCATCCCCACTAGCTCTGGAGCCAGGCAGAAGGAGAAATCCCTCACAAGACAGGCTCTAGAGCAATGTGGATATCCTAACTGGGCCTTCCTGAAAGCAGAGAAGAAACCCAAACAGGTCTCCAGTCAGCCATCAGGTGAAAAGGAGGAACCCAGACAAGTGGTCATTCCATATGTTGAGGGAGTATCAAAGAAACTGAGACGTTTATTTTCTAAACATAACGTCCCAGTGGCTTTTAAACCCCAAAATACATTAAAGACTGGTTCATCCCAAAGATCCAGTCCCCCGGCACAAACAGAGTAATGTTGTGTATGCTGTTCAGTGTCAGGAGGGTGATCAGTCTTACATCGGGGAAACTAAACAGCCACTGGCCAAAAGGATGGCCCAGCACAGAAGATCAACATCATCAGGCCAGGACTCTGCGGTCTACACTCATCTCCAGGCCAGCGGTCACTCTTTCAGGGATGAAGATGTTCACATCCTGGACAGAGAGGAACGATGGTTTGAGAGAGGAGTAAAGGAGGCCATCTTTGTGAAAAGAAATCGTCCATCATTAAACAGGGGTGGAGGCCTCCGGGTTCAATTGTCCCCCTCTTACAATGCTGTGATTGCTAGTATCACTCAGCCCTCTGTGAGTAGTAAACAGCCATCAGTGTGCTAATGAGCCATTGTTAGGCTGATGGTCCTTCTTGAGCATGTGATCAGCTGGTTTTGGTTGTCAGCAGCAAAACTGGTTGATCCACTCTGAGAAGGTGCTATTTAAGAGACTGAGCTGAAAACAGCACCTCAGACTGAGGAAGTCTCTTGGATGAGAGATGAAACGTTTCTACATTTTTTGTTGATTTGCTTTGTTTTGTTTTTTTGGAATGTCCAGAGGACCAGATTTAACTTTTTTAGATAATGACACCAAAGTTAATGTTGCTTCTGTGTGTGTCTGCTCAAACAATGTTGGACTCTGTAGTTTTCTCTGGTCTCCTCTCCAACATGACCAGCCATGACAGGTTTGGCTGCACGTCGTCCTTCAACCTCTGGCTGTCCTGAAAACAATGTGGGCTGCCTCCTCTGCTGCAGACACTAAAACAGGAGCAACAATAAAAACCTGAGAAGAAGTCTCAGGAGTCGGATGCTGTTTTTGTTTCATCCCTTAGGGAGCAGTGTTTCTCAACAAATTGTCTTGAACTTCACAACATCCAGCAGTGATGGTTTTAGTGTCGCCTCCGAGAAAAGATTAAAACAAAAGATAACAGTATTTCAAGAAGATGAAGTTAAATAAATACGGCTAACAAAATAGAACCTGTGTCTATGATACACAACATCACATTATGTGCAAACATAACATGAAGCGAACATTCGATGCATCTTTAAAGATTGAATGCTTCCATGCCGTTGTAGTTCAGTCCAGCCCTCTCTAGCCACCAGTTGATATCAGCCACTTCCTCAATCTGCTGATGGAACATGCTTAGAGGGGCTCATCCTTCCACAATGGATCTTCTTGTCCCTTCTCTTAGAGTAGAGGAGTTCAAGTTGCTTGTGGTTTTGTTCACAGTGAGACTGACAGATGGATCTGTGTGGCTTCCACTGCAGACTCTGTTCTGGTCTTTTGAGGTGAAGAGAAAGGTGAGCTGCAAGACGAAGCTCTTTGTCTACCAGTCGATCTACGTTCCAATCCCCACCTGAACTCATGAACTCTGGGTAGTGACCAAAAGAATGAGATTGTGGATACAGGTGGTCTAAATGAGTTTCCTCTGCAAGGTAGCTGGATTCTCCTTTAGAGACGGGGTGAGAAGTTCAGTTATCAGGAAGAGACTAAGTACAACCACTGCTCCAGGAGCCAGTTCAGGAGGCCCGGGCATCTGGTAAGGATACCCAGTGGTGAGTGGGGATGTGCTTCAGGTATATGTCCAACTGGGAGGAGACCCCGGGGAAGACCCAGGACAGGAACACCTTGGAGTCCTCCCAGAAGAACCGGAAGAGGTGGCTGTGGAAAGATATCTGGATCTCCCTGATCTAGTTGCTGTCCCCGAGACCTGACTCCAGAACAAGTGGAAGATAATGGATGGGCAGCACAATAGCTTAGTGGTTAGGCCTGTTGCTCGTGGGTTTAATCTCCGGTTTGGACCTGGGTCTGTGTGGAGTTTACATGTTCTCCTCATGCTCACGTGGGTCCTCTGGTTTCCTCCCTCAGTCACAGTCATGTACATGTTAGGTTGCCTTCAGGCCCAGGACTCCTTGCAACAGATATCTTTTCCTGTTACATAAAGTTCTTTTGGCTTCTCCCTTCTTCAGGAGTCTCCACGGCTAACTAACCGGGTGTCCTTACTGACGTAACCACAAACCACCGAGCTACCACAGCCCTCTGTGTGGAGCAGAGAGCTGCCATCTAGGGCGCCCGGGGGAGCAGATGGTGGGGGTTAAGGGTAGTGGTGTTCAAAACCACAATTTAATTTGAGATTCCGATACTGAGTAAAATTCAGGCTTGTTTTGGCAATATCGATCCAATACCGCTCTTTTGTGCAAATGCACCTTATGTGTCTGGTAAATTAAAAAAAGCAGTTGATTTCAGATCATTCATAAAGAATACAAGACAAGTAATTTATTTATTTTAAACTCTGGAGTATGTTGATGTAGTATAGCTGAGCTTACACAGAAAACAGGACACAAGTATACAAACTGACAATTCTGTTTCAAACACACAAAAAAGAAAATCATAAAACTATTAAAATAAATGATTAAATCGATCACAATAGTTTAGTTTCTTTCCACCATATTCCTGTTAATGTCCTACATTACATGAAATGACTGAAGAATCAAAAATATTGATCATTTAATTTGAGAATTGATTCTTGAGCATAAAGTTCTGGTATCGGTGGTATCAATATTTCAAAATCAATATGCACATCACTAGTTAACAGCCTTGCTCAAGGGCCCAGAGTGGAGCAATGAAGGTGGCGACAGGTGTGGGTGCCTCACCGTCATCAACATTTTGATGTTATCGAGCCCGGGGGTCGAACGGGCGACCTTCCAAATAAACAGTAATAATAATAAAAATATATAAATTGTCCCTGATTTCCTTGGTTTGGCCTTGTGGGTCTTATTCTGGCCCAGCTGTGTACAGGCTGACCCATTAACAGTCAGAACCAAGCAGCCGAGGGGGGGGGGGGGGGAACCTCCCACCTCCGGTTTGTTTCCGTGCAGCTTTGAAAGCATGAGCAGAAACACGTTGAGACAAAATGATGTCGTTGGTTCTCTGCTGCATGTTCTCACACATCGTACTCGTTTCAGGTGAACCCCTGAACAGTTCTGTCAGATTTTCACAACAGATCTAAACAGGAACGAGAACATTTTCTTCCAGTTGTTCCTCACACTGATGAAGACGCAGCCTTCATGTGTTTAACGTGTTAACTGAGCACTTTCTCTTGTATTTTCACAGGTTCCTCTCTGAGTGAACAAGTTGTCCAGACTCCAGCAGAAACCCTGAAACGCTCTGGAGAAACAGCCAAAATCAGCTGTTCTCACAGTATTCAGAGCTACGATCAGATCCTGTGGTACAAACAGTCGGATCAGCATCCCATGCAGCTCCTGGGCTACATGTTCGGAGACGCAGCGTTCCCAGAGAGAGGCCTGAACGTGAAAATGGAGGGGAGTGCGAACAAAGACAAGAGCTGCACTTTAACGGTGGAGGGTGTGAGCAGCAGTGCAGTTTACTTCTGTGCTGCTCGTTATCACAGTGCTGCAGATCTCTGCTCCTCTCTACAAAAACCTGCTTCCTCTTCGTCATTTCTTCCTCCACACCTGCTTTACGTCGTTTGATGAGGAGAGACGAGATCTTCCAGAGAGCTTTGAGTCTGCAGTGACACCTCCCACCTCAGAGTTGACTCAGAGGCTCTGGTCTCAGGACCTTCCAGCCGTATTTCACTGATATGAAGAGAAACATGGTCAGAAATGAGCCCGTGAGCATGAGAGCTGCTCTGTTATTAATTGTGTTTAACACGGTGCTGGTTTCAGGTAATACATGATTTAAATCAACTTTAATTAGTAAATGAAGGCTCAGCTGGAGATTTAACTACAATATTTAAATCAACTTTAGTAAATGAAGGCTGCAGATTATATTTATAGACAATAATTCTGAATCATTCTCACCGAGGTCCAGTTTTCAGCTGGTAACTTGTTCTGCAATTTTTGTTCTATCGCAACGATTCATGGATCAAAACGTTCGGCTCTTTCAAAACTTTCATGATCGGACTTCTGGTGTTGGAGCAATTTTTTACTTTTTGAAGTATTTAACTTTGTCAGTCATTCAACCTTTATTTATACAGGTTAGTTTCCACTGAGCCTCAGAGACTCATTTACAAGACAGACCTGTAAAGAAACGTTCTCATTGAAAATGAATGGAGCTCTTCACGTCCTTCAAACCCGTTTCTGCACATTTCAGCTGTTTTTCTTTTATTTTCCTGCTTTCGTCAAACATCAGCTGTTGGTTTCAGCTTCCTCAGCAGTTTTCATCAAACATCATTTGACAATAAGACTGTATTTTCCTGACATTTCTTTGGGTTCATTTGAACGTTGGTTGTTTTTCTCCAGGCTCCTCTCTCAGTGACCAGGTCGTCCAGACTCCATCCTTCATTCAAGCCAGTCCAGGAGGAGCGGCCAAGATGACATGCTCCCACAGCATTCAGAGCTACAACCAGATCCTCTGGTATAAGAGATCAGAGCACGGAGAGCTGACCCTCCTGGGATACATGTATTTGGACAACAGTAATCCAGAACCTGGAGTGAACGTGCTGATGGAGGGGAGTGCAGATGAGGGCAGGAACTGCTCGTTAACCCTTAGAGAGCTGAGCGTGAGCAGCAGTGCACTTTACTTCTGTGCTGCAAAGTACCACAGTGCTGCACGCCACAGCTCCTCTGAACAAAAACCTCCCCACAGCACCGGTCGCTCCTCTTTCTAACAACCATGGAAGATCCAGGACTTCTTCAGGTTCAGTGGTACTCGTTACAGTTAACGTAACGTTACTTCTTGAAAATAACAATGGTTTGACAGATCAATCATCCAGGTAGATAAATCACAAATAAAGGGTTAAATCATTGGATAAAAATATCCTGACATCATCTACTTACAAGAACTGAGCCACACACAAAGACAGGAAGATTTTTTTTTAACCCAGTCTTCTTGCGAGGGCAGTGTTCAGGCTCTTTGAAGCCCCCGTCATGAAGATCTGCACCAGACAGTGTGCCAGGATTGTTTTTATATTATACTCTTATTAGCTCCTCCTCCAGACTGGGAGGAGACCTTGGAGTGCAGCTGCACATGCAGTACCAAAGCAGCTCCTCATTCAGCTCCCTCTGCAACCTCAAACACATGGTTCATGGGCAGTTCACTTTTTAGTTAGTGACAAACATCCTTGACTTTGCCCAAAATTCTGCTAACAATCATGTCATCTGGACAGTTTCTTTTTGGAAGAAACGTTTCATCTTTCATCCGAAAGACTTCATCAGTCCGAGGCCTGCCAACCAGATCTGTCTTATAAATAGCACCTCCTTGACGTGCTTCAAGCCAGCCCTCTGTGGGACTCCAAGAAAGTGACTTTAACACATGCAACAAGGGACCATCCGTCCAAAACAACGGCCAAAATAATTCAGATCTTCTGTTATAAAATGGCAGGAAGCAGGTGACTGAATTTAAATACCTCGGAACAGTAAGTGACAACAAGTTGACCTTTGAACCCAACACTGACTGTATTTACAAAAAACAAAACAAAAAAAAAACAGACAGCGTCTTCACCTTCTATATAAAGTAAGGAGCTTTAATGCTAGGAGAAACACTTTGCAATTGGTGTACAGGTCACTGGTTGAAAGTGTGGTTTCCTTTAATACTGTCTCATGGTATGGGAACCTCGTAGCCTGAGGCAGGAACAAGTGTCCCAAATAACTCAACAAATGCAACCTACAGACCTGCACAGTCAGGCGCTAGAAAAAAGTCTGTCCAGGTTTAAAATGACCCAACTCATCCCCTGCAACCATTATTCAGGTTAGTACCATCTGGCAGAAGACTGCTGGTTCCTCTGGTAAAGAAACATGGGTACAAAAAGTCATTAGTTCCCTCTGCTGCGAGTGTCCTGAACAGGGTTCTGTTTAAACACAGCATCACATGAACCGTTGTCTGCTGAGATGTTTTAATGTTTTTTAGAATTGGTTTAATTGAGTTTAGCAAACATTTGAAAGGTTTGTGGTATTTTTAACTTGTGTTTTGTATGTATGAGCCAGATGTCAAAGATAAAATGTCCATCTCATGAAATGTGATGGAAAATAAAGTTTTATTGATTGATTGATTGGATGTGGAGGAGCAGCTGCTCTACTCCAAGTCTCTTCTGGATAACTGAGCTTCTCAGCCTTACTGTCATTAGATGGCAGTAAACTGTCACACTCTGTGGTGTTTAGTTTTAACGAAGCATAGGAAGGTGTCTGTTAAAACCCACCTTTAATGGGTGGGCTTATTTTCCTCATGGGAGGGTTTCCTCAGAGAAAGACTAAACACTAAAACACAACCGGACAAACATTTTATCATGATCATCTTCTGCATTTTGTTCAATCTCATTAAAGTTTCAGGTAATCTTTGTTTCTTCTTTACACATTGCACTAGGGATGCTTCAGATCTTTTCTACAGCTTTGCCACGTTGCATTTAACGAACCTCTCTTGTTGTGATTTCATTCAAGGCTCTTCTCTCAGTGAGAAGGTCTACCAGAGTCCAGCTGAGATGTTCGTCAGCCCCGGAGACTCCGCCACCATCACCTGTTCACACAGCATTGATAACTTTGACAGGATCCTGTGGTACAAACAGTCCGGCAAGCAGCTGCACCTCCTGGGTTACATGAATGTGATGCATGCGTATCCAGAACCCGGAGAGAAGGTGAAGATTATTGGAAGTGCAACCAAAGACAAGAGCTGCACGTTAACAGTCCAGGAGCTGAGCAGCAGTGCAGTTTACTTCTGTGCTGCTCTACCACAGTGCAGCAGATCACAGCTCCTCAACTCAAAAACCTCTTGCTGGAACTGGAAGCACACAAACTGAAGCTCCGCCCACAAAATGATGGTTTCTTACTGAAGGAGTTCAAACAATCATTTCCCCTTCTGATGCACGGAGAAGATCTTTAACAGAACTGAGGACAGCAGGATGATCGTTCTGTTCCTGAGCCTTTTTTTAAACTTTCTGCGTTCAGGTAAAACCAGAAAAATAAGACCTAATTCTAAAGTTTGCTATCCAAACAGACCGATAAATGTTTTCATGTTTCTTTCTGTTGATTGTGTTTCATCACTTAGGTTCTTCTGTCAGTGACCAAGTCTTTCAGAGTCCAGCTAACATCTTCAGCTCGCCCGATGGAACCGCCACGATCTCCTGTTCACACAGCATCCCAAACTACGACCAGATCCTCTGGTACAAGCAGGAGGAGAACCAGATGCTCCTCCTGGGATATGTTTACTATAGAAGTGCTCATCCAGAGGCAGGTGTGGACGTGACGATGGAAGGGGGTGCAGAAAAATATCAGAAATGCACTTTAACCGTTCACAGACTCAGCTTGAAGAGCAGCGCTGTTTATTTCTGTGCTGCTCGCTACCACAGTGCCACAAAACGAGCGACGCTCAGAACAAAAACCTCATCTTCACGTGCTGCCATGTTTGTTTCAGGGTTCAAACACCCGCACACCTGCAGGAGTCACTCCTTCATCTGCCTCTCGCTCTGATCTGTTGAAGGGTTTCTAATGAGCAGCAAAACCCCCGTTACCCACAAATATTCAGAAAGATCAACAGAATGATACTTTAAACTTTGAGCACTTCACTGTTTGTGTTAATACATATGACGGCAAAGTGTGCAGAGTTTAGGGTAAAAACAAAGGTCAGGGCGACACCTCCACCTGCTCCCAGCTCCACCAGCTGCATCACTTCCCCTCATCAGTCCCACCTGTTTAATTTGCTCACACTAAACTCCAGACAGGTCTGCACCTCCTGGTGCTCCTCATGTGCCTTCAAGTCTCCCATCATGAAGCGAAGAGGTGGAATTGGAAATAACCACCATCCATCCATCTGTCCATATATCATCCATCCATCCATGCATGTTGTGCACATGATAACTTGAAAATAAGTGAGGTACTGACTCACATTTTGGTGTGTGGCTGCATCTAGACGTAACGAGTACTTAAAAAATTGGGTTGCCACATCAAAATCCAAGATGGCTGCCACCGTATATACGGCATACCTGTGCGTTTATGCGTGTAATCTGGCCACACCACTCTTATGAGGAAAATATGCTTTCTAGTTTTTAAAAAATTGCATAAATTCAACAAGTCATAGTGTGGCAGAAGAATTATCTCTGGGTGCCAAGGCCACCACTGGCCACCCCCTGGCTCCCCCACTGAGCATGGTTGTAAAAAACAAACCAACAACAATAAAACGATCTCTATTCGCCAACACAGTGTAACTCCTACCTGCTTGAATATCTTGCATCAAAAACATTCAGGTTTACTTACTTTCACTGTTCAGTTCCATCCATCCATCGTATTTTACCCGCTTCTTCCTTTTTGGGTCCCGGGGGTCACTGGTGCCCAGAGAAACACTCATCACAAAAACTACAGTCACTATTGAAGTTCCTCAGCGAAGGAGGACATCAGCGTACTTACTGCTTGTCACATGTTATGGAGCTCTTTGTCACATTTGACTAAATTAAAGAATCATCGAGTGTTTGTCCAGATGTGATCCTGCAGGCAGACGAAGTCTTCGGGTTGAATCAGTGGAGATGGTGGGCAGCCATAACAATGATGTCATTTATACCCAGATGTACTGGTACAGGTGAGAACATGGTTCTCATGTGTGCAGTTTGGTTAACAGATAGATCATGGAGAAGCTCCTCAAATATTCTTCAGTCAAAGACACGAAGGAGAACTCAGACATCCAGCTGCTGACTGAGGATCTGTGACACCAGAAAACACAAGGATATAAAAAAAATACAATGGACAACTCTAATTTGACTGGAGACCTGTCCAGGGTGTCCCTGTGATGGACTGGAGACCTGT